TTTGGGGTACTGTGCAGAAAATATATGTGAAAATATAAAAATGTTACAGCTTTGCCATAGCTCTCTCTGCTCTCAAGGAAATCAGTCCTTGTGTAGAATTTTAGCTTTCCACATTCGGCTAATCAATACCTTAAAATTATTTTACTCATAAACTTAAAAGTTAGCTGGTGGTGAAATGTAATAAATGCGTGGAAGGGCTGGCATGCCTCTGATGAGGGGTTTGAGACCTGAGGCAGTGTTCTAACCATCCAACAAGATATTAGTAACTTTTTGAAAAATGGAAGAAATTCTTGCACTGCTTTATGTTTCATTTGCCTATATTTTAACGTTAAATTGTGTTTCTAGTCGGATAAAATGCTTTATTGTGTTGATTTTGCCAGTTGGGGGGGTGGGTTGGTTTAGTTTTTTATGCATATATTGTAGTATATTTTTTTAATGTGCAAATCACTTTTTGCACTTGCTGGTTTTTTTTTTTTGCTTGTTTGTGCTTTCCATACCCCCCCCCCATCCTCTCTATCTTGTCTACCAGCTACCTAGTGAGCATCCAACCAGCAATGGAAGAAATATGACAAAAGCTCCCAAATGTCTTTATACGCATATGACTAATATTTCCACAATTTCACGTACAGGTCGGGTTCGGATTTTAGATTTGCTAGTACTACTTGGCCTGGGTCGGGTTTTGGCTCGCAGTGACTTTGCTGCAGGCCGCGGGCTCAGGCTTTCATTTCAGGCCATTACAGAATATCCCATCAGGCACCGTTGTAAAATATGTCGTGAAATGCAATGCTGTATGAGGTGCAAGTAGGGCACTTGAATTTGGTTCAGATGCGGAAGATGATGATGAGAATGATGATCATTGAGAAGATGGTGATCACTGAACGTGGGCCAGTCAAACATTACACGCTAGAAAATGACATGGGAACACCAACAGAAATATGACATTTTTGATTCATTCAGCTGTGATGGGTTGGCGCCCCATCCTGAGTTGTTCCCTTCCTTGTGCCCGTAGCCTCCGGGAGAGTCTCTGGATCCCCCCCCCCCCCATCCTGAATAGGACAAGCGGTTTCGGAAAATTTATGGCTGAATGTTTCATTCAGATTATTTTATACAGGTGAATGGAAATGATTAGTGTTCATGCAAAATGTCGTGGTCAGTTCAAATAATTGTGATAAGGCGATTATGTAATATGAATATTCACCTACTGCATTTAAACATTTACAGCTTTGGGGGTAGTCCTTCTTGACCTTTATTTTGTAAAAAAAAATCATACAGCAGAGAGCTTGCTGTAATTCATGGGTCTAGCCCTGGATGAGGCTATAGCTGATGATGATATATATATATATATATATATATATATATATATATATATAGAGGAAATCAACCTGTCCATCAGAAAACCTCTCTGCAGTTCTCACCTGTGAGTTTTTTGGTATGTGATTTCATTTATTTAATTTTATTTTGCATTTGGTGCTTTAGCTGCAGGCTACACTGACTAATAGCCTTGTCTTCATTTTCAACTTTCATTCGGTATCTATTTGACTCTCTATTTGTTCTTTGCTGAATTCATGCTCTGCTATCGGATCCAGGGTCTTAGCCTTTTGGAGTAGCACCAAATTGTCTGTCTCAAGCTCTTGATGGCGGTGTGGTGTCTGAAGCTTAACTGGCTGTAGCCCCTTATTTTCATAGACAAAACACTGTCATGTGCAGACCAATGTTATACTGTTACAGCTCCCAGAACACCCCCCCCCCATTGCAAATGGATGTCAGAGTGTCTACTGATATATTCAGATTTTGTTCTGGTGGGTAGTGATTAATGGGAATCTGTGTTTCTTTTTTGTTCTCAAAAAAGCCCATTACAGTTCCCCACTGCACTTACAATTGATGTGACTGTAGCTATTTCTTTAGTTATCAACATTGATGTGCTGAAAATCACTATCCAAAAAGTTAACTCCTGTGTCAGAATGACATTACGTTTTCCCCATTAAATTTTAATGTAAACCATATGTTTTTTTTTCTTGGGCCTTCCAGCTCAAAGCAACACTGGTTTCGGAGCTGAGTGCGGCAGCCCTTGTATGGGCCTGCCCAGATCATAGCTGGCAGTGCAACTCTTTTCATCATCATCTTTTCATTACAGGCTTGTCCAACATGCTGGATCATTCACTGATTTTGAAATCTGTTTTATGGTCTTAGCGGCTTGTGAAAAGGCAAGGCACGAGGAACCAGATGGCGCATGAAAAACAAGCGGAAAAGAACCGCATCTCTCCATATTCATCCTATTCATTCCGACTAAGAAATGTTTGTTATGCTTACTTATGTCTTTCTATTAGTGATGTCGACTAAAAATGTTAAATACAGATGGAATTCAGGCAGCAGTTGTAGGAGGACATACAGGGCAGAATTACAAGTTGCCTCAGTAGCACAGAAATATTAACTGAAAACTTTTGAATTTATGTCAAGACTTTGCAGGAAGTGGGAGCAGTAGTGTAACCCTTCACATTAAGCATTTGGGATGGGGGGGGAATGCTTGTTTTTTAAACATTCATCTCCTTGAGTTTATCCAGCTGGACGTTTTCACCCTTGGCAATTATTCCCCTTTTGTACATTTTAAGTGTGTGATTGGCGGTTTTTTTCCAGTGGCCTGTTTGACCTGAGCAGCACACTGGCTGTACTTTCAGGAAACAGGGACAATTATTTATTTTACTTTGCTTCCATTCTGTCAAAACACCGTATTTTTCTTCCTGTCAGTCACTTCACAATAATACAGAGAAATCTTTATTTTAACAGGATATTGGCTAATATGTGTACTGTGTAAAATTTAATATAAGGCAATCAAATTCAAATTTGTATGATTAAATAGGCGACACATTTGTCCAGTGGATGTTATTGCTGCCTTTATACATGAAGGATCTTGTGAGCGATTTTGGCAATTCTCTTTTTCACTCACGTTTCTTTTTGTAAGCGATTGTAGAGTTTGCGGGGGAAAGGATGAGTGATAACCTATGAGACAAGTGAAACACATCAGAGACTTTCAACTGCGTAAATCTAGACTATGAGTTTAATGACTACGGCGGAGAGACATTATGAAATAAAACCCAAAGTACTGGCAGTAACCGCGTGACAGAATAAAACAACAGCTTACCTGTGTTGTGTTGGAAATATGAGCAAACTGAACTAAGGGCATGGTGAACATAGAAAGGTTACTGTGAGTTATTACCGCTGTATGTCTGATTAGCCAAGCCATATAGCTATACATCATTTGTGGATGTGTATGTCTTTGTTTGGAAAAAAGTTCATGTACATACAGTAGTCCTTATAAGGAAATCTCATTCCTCCTTCGGCTGAGGTAATGTAGTAAAAGTACATTGTAACATTGTAACTGATTTCATACAGTTGTACATGAGTTACAGACCGTTGTAAATCGGGAATCATCAGTCACTGTTTCATAATGATGTCTTTTGGAGTTGGAAAACCTTTAATAATTACTCTTTGGAGGTCATGGGTCATACACACAAAAGTTATAGTACATATTACCACCAGCAATAAAATAACTGTGGCAGAATGCCATTGTGTGAAACCATAAAGGGTCTTTAAGGGAAAAAAACCTAAAATCCAGTCTTACATACACATATATGTTTAGAATGTATAATGGCTTTTCCTAATTTTGGAATAGACTGGGAATAACAGCAGATGTTAAATGTTTTCTTGCTGTGTGAAAAAAAAGTTCCCTCATATTGCATCTGTAGGCCACAGAACTGCCCAGTAATTCTGATTCCCATCGCTTGCAGCGGATGGGAGCAAGGGGAAACGGGGATACAATTTCAGGAAGTTTGCATTGGCTGGGAAGAAGAGGGAATGCTTTTGAATGAAATTCATTTTTAGTAAGTTGAAATCTGAAAGGAAGGGGGGGGGGGTGTCTGCATCAATAAGTCTGTTCATGCTCAGGCCAGCATTGAGCGGAGAACAGTATAGCATGGGGCCATATAGTCACTATGCAAAAGTGAAACATTCTGAAAACATGGCAACATGCTTATTGTTACAATGTAAATGACTTTAGACTATAGAAGTATTCTTTGTTAGGAGGATATGAAGGCTTCTAACAAAATACATTATGCTGAAAATACCAACAGCGTTGTGAAGCTGTATCTCACAAGATTCATTACCCGGAGGGAACTTGTGTGTGAATATGGTCTCGCTCAGATAAAGTCTCCAGATCAGCACCTGTGACAAGCAGTTAATAACTCTATGTCTGTAAACGATAAATTAATGTGTGACATAACTGCAATTATATATATACATATATAATTATATGTATATATATAAAAATGTTACAACAGCTGGTCTTGAATCTGGCCTGCAGCCCCTGTACTCTATGGACTTTCTGTGTTGTTGTAAGTCTGTTGGGCTGGGTGCTGAGTTAGAGAAAACACATGTGTGACATAACTGCAATATCATGACGTGTGCAAGACATTATTCAGGTTACCTGTGATTGACCTTTTGGCTTAGCAAATGTCAGGTAGACATCTGAAAAGGTCAAAAAGAACAAAAATGGTTATTATGCTATTCCATTTCTCTAAAGTAATTTATTTATTGGAAATACTGTAGTGTTGCTCAGCTTGCCTTCTTTAATAACTCGGTTATGGGTACAATTCAAATGAGTACGCACCACATTACGCCCATACCTATTATATTATTTGCTGAAGCTCTCGGGCCTACTTTTGACATTTAAATTCACTAGAAACATTCAAATGTCTTTTTAAAATAAATTGGATATATGTCTACTGTATTAGTGCAAAATGGATTACCTCATTTGCTGAGCTCATTTCATAATTGTCATAAGCTCTGATCTGATATGATCGGAGGTCATTATATTCTTTGGGGACAGTAAATTAGGTAAAGTTTTTTTTTTTACAAAGTCTTCCTTTCTTAGTGCTAATGATGCATTTCATGAAGGCATTATGACATGATATGTAACTAACTTTCTCCTTACCTTTTTATTACAGAGACTTGAAGAATAATTTAATTAGCACTATAGAGCCTGGCGCATTCCATGGACTTACTTCACTACGGCGACTGTGAGTATGAAAAGTACACAGCATGGTGGGGGGTGGGGGGGTCACTCCCTAGAGAGCCTTGGGCCTGGGGGAGGAAAGCCGGAATCATGCGTGACTGAGGCATTCGGGATTTACAGTGACCAACCCATATGTTCCCTGAAATATAATCAGTGGGAGATGGGTTTGCAAGCAGCAACAGATGCTTCCAGGTTCTTGAATTATGTTGATTGCTTCTTGGATGTAAAATGCTAATCAGGTTGACTAATTAAGGGAATCCATTGCATTCAGTCAGAAACTGGTTCCTTTAAATTTCCTTTTATTCACCTCTGTATTTATGATTCCTGTATGAATGTACTTCTGTGTTGATGTAAGCATGTCACTCTCATCTAAGGAGACCACGCATATATACTGCAAGCAAATGTTGTTTGGTTTTAATTCTGGTCAGTTGGCTACCGTCTTCTGTGAGCCTTAGTTAATTTAAAAAGAATTTTAGCTGGCGCAAAAGATGCTTGGGGCTTCAGATCACAAGATTGATGGAGACAAATTTAACATTATTGTCACCATAATATCACTTAACTTTTGCCTTAATCATTTGATCATTTTTTTTTGTTCTATTATTGCGTAAACTGCCATCACATGGCATGAGAAGTAGAACTGGCCAATCATGATTTTTTATGTGCATTTTTAAAAATTATATAAATCCCGCTAAGTGATCCAACTACAATTGAATTAATTATTTTTCAATATTGTAGTATTATTTTAGTGTATTAGTTCTTTTTATGTGCCCAGCATTAAAATTCAGAAAAAAATTTAAAGCATTTTTTCTTTATTAAATCTCAAATGATGCTGAGAGCTATTAAATTAAGAAATGGAATGAATTCGATGCAAAATTAGCAGTTTAGCACAGCAGGAAATACACATTTTGAACATTGCTCTGGAAAATTTGTTTGTAAGCTTAAGATTTAGTCATCCAGATATATTAAGCGTTTATTTATAAAGGCAGTAAAATGTTAATTACTATTATTATTGCTAAAACAGATAAATTAAATAACAGTTCATAACTTTCTCACATTATTGCATAGCATTAACCTAAGTGCATGTTGTATTGCAATGTTGATGTGTTCTGGTCAATATATTAAATGTAAAAAATTTGGTTTTTTTTCTTAAAGATACTTACTTATTTGAATTACGCAGCTGATACTAATGGCCAATTATACCATTGGCCATTAGTATGTGTGATTAGTAGACAAAATACAGAACACGCACAATATTACTGTATTTGTCAGTATTACAATTATAAGTATCGGGGCATTCATTCCCAAACCTACTGTATGTGCCATGTGTTGTCAGTTGCCTTTTAAAGTAGGTCTTTAACCAAGTTTTCATTTGTTGCATCTAGGCTTAGTCATTTAAAACATTAACTTAGTCAAGAAATCTAGTTAAATCCCTGTGAATCCAGAGAACTGCAGGATAAAGATTCTTAATCTGATTTAATTGTTATTACAGTATTGGTCTCTTAACCACCGTCGCCAATAACCTCACACCAGCCTCAAGCCTCAAGTCACATACTGTATCAGTTTTTGTTTCTGTCGTCAGACCCCTGTGTGTGTAGTACCATGCTGAATGGTGTCATCTCTGGTTTCCCTTTAGCAGAAAAGGAGATGGGACATACAGGGCATGTGGGCATTCTGACACGTGGGAAAAATCTATTACAGCATCCGCTGGCCCCTTGACAAGAAACACATAGACGGCTGGTACTATTAATATTAGTACTAAAACTGCTATTACAACACGTAGGCCGACATGCACGCACAAATGGGCATATGCTGTGGAAATGATGTCAGTGTTGCCAGACAGAGAGGAAATTTTTTCCTCACTTGAATGTCATATCCGCAGTTGACTTGCTGAATATGTGCCCGGTCTTAGAGGGGTGCCATGTTAATTGAAGTACTCCCTGACTGGTGATTATGACACGTCTTTCTTACCCCTGCACAGCTGCTCTAGAAAAGCAGGATGCTAATTAAAATCTGGCGAAGGGAGACGAGCCACATTTCTGACACAAGAAGCCTGTTAAGAGTGGAGGGAAATTAAGAGAAAGAGCCAAGTCTTACCACCTTGACCTGTCAGGATTTATGGAAATTTACTAAGTGAAAGAGGTCAAGTGCTCTTGAGTGTTGATGACTGAACCAATGTATGTGGGCTTAGCTTCCTGGCACTCTGAACTTCAGAACACTCATGCTGTTAGCTGTTGGAAGGAGGTCATGCAGAAGTGGGTATACCACTGTTTGTGGAGACTTCCTGTTAATTCACGTTTTATTGGTGCTCTCAGCAGACTTTTAAACATCCCAAACAGCATAAATAAATAAGCTAGAAAAAGTCACTGCAACTCTGACCAGGAAAAGATATTAGAAGATGGATGGATGTATGTATGTATGTATGGATAGATGGATGAAGGTATGGATGCATGGAATCATGGATGCAGAAATGGACTCAATCACTACGATCACAAAAAAGGTTAAAAAGACAACACAAAGATTAAAACACATTTAACTATTAAAATACAATGGTTAACCACTGAAATTCAAAAAGAAATTTAAAGTGATAAACATAAAGCTTAGGCAAGGAAGGTATTAAGAAAGATCCCGGGGGGGGGGGGGGGGGGAGTTCGTGTCACGGTGTTTATGTTTTCAAATTTCAATTTCTCTAAGTGTAGCGAGATACCCACACGGCATGTCCTCATACAGAAACACATCTGCCTCCCTACTTCTGTTCCTCAAAGATCTTTTGCATCAAATTAAATTCAGTCTTTTAGATGAAAAAATGTAATCAATCTTGTTTTCTTTTAGGGATCTGTCCAACAACAGAATTGGTTGCTTCTCTCCCGCAATTTTCACTGACCTTGGAAATCTTCTAAAGTTGTGAGTATATTCATATATTTTTAGAATATTAATGAGGCAAATTTTTCTGCAAGAATGTTTATAAATAGATAAGCTATTTTGTATTTTAATAGATTTCTTACTGTTCTGTAAAATATTAAAACTGTTGTTGTCCCCCCCCCCCTTTTTTTTTTTTAGAAATATTTCAGGGAATATTTTCTCCTCTCTTCCCGAGGGATTGTTTACTCACCTGATGTCTCTGAAAATATTGTAAGAATCCCGGATTCCTCTTTTTCAATTGATGAAATACACGTGTGGACATTTAGAATGATTCCATTGGCCCCTGAGTGACAGGGGCCCTAAACAACTTGGAACACAATTGGATTGGTCTGGGTTGGGATATGTTCTCATGGGGCCCAAAATCTTTAGCTGCACCCTTGCACGTGCATGGCCACTAACGGACACTGTTATTAAATAATGCATACTGTAAGTGCAGCTATGTCTTCAAACACTGACCACAGATTATTGTGCCAGATGATAGGTATTTACATGTGAAAGCTTTGATGTATCCTGACAGGCACTTCAGCTCAGAGACTCTTTTCTGTGACTGTCACCTGGGCTGGCTTCTCCTCTGGACACGGGCAAACTCAGTCCATGTAGGCAATGGCACATGCTGTATATACCCCACTCACCTCCATGGCCTGGACTTTCGCCAGCTGAAGGAGAGCCAGCTGAAATGTGGTAGGTTATTGAAACTCTCCGCTGTCTATACCGTGAGCGGTCATTTCTTTATTGCATCCACGGGTGTTTATGCACGTGTTTTTGTTTGCAGTTAAGTTTTTGTGTCGGAAATGGCAGCATTGTGATTGTGCAGTTTTGTTGTTATACCTGAATTTTTCAGGTTTTTTGGATGACAGTTTCTAAATTTAAAGGACAAAAGTCAAAGAGTGTCTGTTAAATGGTGTTATTATTTAACTGTGAAATTATTTACTAAATTAGTATTAAACTATTATTAACTAAATCAGGTGGTTAGCACTGTTGTTTCACATCTCTGGGACCAGGGTTTGGGCATCCGCCATGACTCCATGTGTGTGGAGATTGCATGTTTTCCCCATGTCATCGTGGGGTTTCCTCTTGGTACTCCAGCAGCCCAAAAACATGCTGAGGTTAATTGGAGTTTCTTGTAGGGGTGCACATGGGGGGGGGGAATGGTGTGTAAGTTGGCGCCCCATCCTGGGTTATTCCCTGCCTTACACCCGTAGACCCTTAACAGAACAAGCAGTTAGCGAAAATGGATGGATGGATGGCTTATTAACTAAATCACCTTTATGGATGAGCTACATTGGTTAAGTTCTCAATATTATGCTATGGAAAGTAGTTACTTTAATCCAGCTGTAAGTTTTTGAGAGTCTCTCAACATTCACACGTTCTGCAAGCTCTATTTTTCTATTTTCATGTTTAGTTAGGTGTTCCCAATAATATGGCCAATGATTGTGTATAAATTGCTTAACATTTTATCAAGTGTCTTTTTTTTTAGTAAATACTAATAATGTGTACCTACGATATAAACCAGATTTTACTGTATAAAACGTTGGATAACTGTATTCAAATCATATTGTTTATGGCTTATTTCTGTATTCCTTCTCATTTATGTATTCTAATCCAGTGATTCTCAACCCGTGGGTTGCAACCCATATTTGGTTTGCGGCAAGTTAGGTAAGGGTCACAAAGCAGAGTTGTAAATGTAAGCATTTTAAAAGCAGCAAGCTCCTATGCTGATCTATGATCAGATTTCCCAGCCCCAATCCTAGAATTAATCAATATAAACGGGTCTTGGGTCCGCAAATGCTTAGTGCGAACTCTAGTGAACACTCAACCAATCCAACCACAGATGCTTAATTTACAATTCACTTGCACATCCAATCAGATTTGTGCGATAGACATTGATTGGCACAAATTGTAAAGTGCACTGCGTGCTTGATCATATCGTTAATTCAAACCTATACTTGATATAGGGTTGCAACTGAGCTGACATGGTAAAAATTAAACAATAGGTTGAGAACCACTGATCCAATCAACCAATCCTGTGGCAGCACCCACATTGCATAATATCATGCCGACATAGTTAATTGTCAGATTAAACCCCAGAAACCTCACTAAGTTACTTTCACCACTAGTTGGTGTCAGATTTGTTGGTTTTTGCTGGTGGGGGTGGATTTTGTACTTCAGAAACTTCTAGGATTTTTATGTACAACAGTCTATAAAGTTTATAAACACCTTGTTGATGGCAGAGGTCAGAGGTGAATGGGCAGACTGGATTGAGCTGACAGGAAGGCTGCAGTGGCTGAAACAGCGGTGAGCAGAAAAGCATCTCTGAATTCACCTTGAGATGGATGGGCTACAAGAGCAGAAGGCCACACTGGTTTCCACCCCTGTTGGCTAAGAACAGGAAACTGAGGCTATAGTGAACACAGGCTCAATGAAACTGGACTGTTTAAGATGAAAAAAAAGTGTTGCCTTTTCTAATGATCCCTTTTTCTGCTGAGACATGCAGATGGTTGGGTCAGACTTTGGCGAAAACAGCATGAATCCATGTCCCCAACCTGTCTTGTGTCAAAAGGTCAGTTTGGTGCTGGTGGTGTAATGATGCAGAGAATGTTGTCTTCACACACATTGGGCCCCCTGAGACCTATCAAGTATCATTTACATCTGAGTATGTTACTGACCATGTCCGTGCCTTTATGGGCTCAGTTTACCACTTCCAGCACAATAATACACCATGTCGCAAGCCACAAGTAATTTCAAACTGGTTTCATAAATATGACAATGTGTTCAGTGTTCTTCATTGGCCTCCTCAGTCACTAGACCCGAGTCCAATGGAGAATCTTTGGATTGTAGTGGAAGGAGCGATTTGCAGCTTGAATGTGCAGCTGACAAATCTGCAGCAATTACATGATGTAATCATGTCAACATGGAGCAGAATCACTGAGGAATGTTTCCAGCACCTTGTTGGGTGGATGCCAGTAAGAATTCATGCTGTTCTGAGAGCAAACCAGTGGTGTTCCAACTAAAGCGATGAAGTGAATGGTGGGTGTATTTTGCAATTAACGTATAGCCTGTATCTGGGGAAGTGTGTTTTAAAGAGACATTTTAGTTGACAATGACAATTTCAGTTTATAATGACTAGAATGGACAGGTACTTCTTTGAACATCAGAACAAGTTAACTTCATCACGTCAAACAATTGTACCGCCTTGCAGCATGTCCTTGACTACCATTCACAATATACTTTTGAAGTAACTAGCTACAGTAAATAACAGACAGTGATTCTTTTTGTTTTCAAAGGAAATTGTATAATGTTATTTTACTGTGTTTCTCTACAATTTAGATTCTGTTTATTTATAGTCTTCTGAAACAACAGATGTTAATGACATTACGCTTATGTCCTGCCAAATACTGAAACAGTGAAATGCAGGTTATTTTAATTGAACACTTGGAATGGGGAATTCCTCTTTTTTATAAGGCATTGATGAGAAACAGACGGCCCAATACACATCTTTAAGCAATTACCCTTACACTGCTCTAACATAATTTGCCCCAGGATGGCTGACATTCAGTTGGACTCCTCGGAATATTTAAATTGTTTTTTTTTCCAATATTGGCAGAAGAAGGGAAACAGCCAACCATTTCCTGCAGAAGTCAGGTGGGTGCCTCAGATTAGGAGAAATTCTGCTGAGTCCACCTGTTTTCACCTCTCTAGTTTTCTTGGGTTGCTTTATTTTTCTAAGTAGTAGAAGGTCCTCTCACAGACAGCATATAAATCACATTTTTAAAGGAGTCATACATACAGCAGCAGTCCAGCATTATATTTTCAGCATGTGAAGATGAAAGTAAAATGATGGTATCTGTTTCACTATTTTTCTATGAATTGATTCTGTAGGTCATGTAATGAGGCTTGCTTGAAGTCTCACTGTGTTGATGCTAATTTATATACAGAATGCAGAAACATACAGTTTAGGTGGTGCTAGTGTTTCTATATTGCCCAGTGTGTGTGTGTGTGTGTAGATTATGTTTATATTACATTGTGGGGACCAAATATTTCATTTTTCAGGTCCCCACTAAGATCTGTGAATGCAATCAAAAAACTGAAAATGCCAAAAGTCTCATATCTTGTTTGGTATCTTATGGGTAAGGTTAGGGCTGGGTAGGGGTTAAGGTCATCATGTTGGGATTAGAGTTTTCCCCATAGAAATGAATGGAGAGTCCCCACAAAGATATAATTACAAACCTGCGTGTGTGTCTGGGTGTGTCCGTGTGTGTGTCTGTGTGTCATGGGATAAATTGGCAACCTCTCCATGGTGCATCATGCTTCCCAGCCAAAAAGGTTCTCTGTGATTCAATATTGGAAAAGCAGTCTTCTGAAAATGAATGAATCGTTGTGGTGTCTAAACAATATTAATAAATAATGTTATCTTTTAAAATATTAGTCATACCAGAGTACCATCTCTGTAATGTTCCTGCAATATATTATATGAATGTCTAGTGTAAATGAGATCACGCAGTGGCTTTAATGTTGAATAATTTCCCTGGCTATTCAATGGTTCCCTCCCTGAAAGGACATGTGTCATCAGTAAAATTAGGCTCGGCATGCAGTGGCAGATGCTTAGGGTTTCCCGTGCCAGACCACAGGGCCAGTTTGGTTAATTTGCTAACTGCCGCAGTGTGAGATCGCCACGTTTTTACTGGAGCAGTGCAGCTCTCGGCGGTCTGCTGGAGGGAACTCTCCGCTCGCTTAATCTTACCCTGGCAGTGGGAGTGACATGTGAGGGGCCCGCTGAGCCAAAGTAGGCCAGGACACAGACTGTGCATCTAATTACCTGGGCGCAACCGAGAAGCACACCTGCTTCTACAGGACACAGTGGATTGAGACATGCTCAGAAGCATCGAGAAAGGCGGCTTGGTCCAGAGTGATTGCAATGTATCTGGAGTATGAGATACAAAATATGCATTAGTTCATATAGGAAAGCTATAAGACGTACAATTACATTTGATGTAGTTCTCCCTTTAAAAGTAATTAACGAAGTTGGCATGGCTGTTAACACCTCGTGTTATTCATTGTTATAAATTAGCACTTTTTGAGACACCCTGCAAGCTGATAATGCCAGTGATTATATATCAGCGCTAGCAGTATGTCAGACCCTACCTATTTCAGCACAAAGGTCTCATGATAATAAGAAACTATGGGGTAAAGCAGCTTGATACGTACATTTTGTGTACCTCAGGGCACTATCAGCTGATATTAGTAATGCAGAAGGAGGAAATTAATAAGGTTTTAATGAGTGTGTGGTACATTTTGATCGAGCTGCGGATTGAAACCACAACATGCTTGCAGGGTGGATGTTTTAACAACTATACCACTTAAGCCCTTCAGGCTGGCGAGGATCTCACTGACACCGCGGGGAAGGCTTATTGTTTTGTATTTTATGTATATATTTGAATTTCAAAGCCACCGTCACTACAAACGAAATCCCGCCGCTGTCATGCTTCTACATTGATGCTAATTATGGATTTTGTCAGTTATACTATAACTATTTTTATTGATTATATTAATATTTGAGTAGTCTATTGATTAGTATGATGACAAATCAAGTAATCATTTATAAAATATATGCAGCAATTGATGCAACATATGGCCAATTTCGGCACTCCAGTTCACTTAAGCTGAATGTTTTTTGATTGTGG